CAATTCCCTCAGGTCCTGTCACTGGTAACCAGAGAGAAGAGATCAGTGCTTGCTCCTGTGTTTTGTGTTGTAAGGAAGTTATGGACAGCTGTGAGATCTCCCCTTCTTCTAGGCTGATTAAGCCAAGTTATCTCAGCTACTCCTCATATGGCTTCCCTCCTGACTCTTCACCATCTCAGTAGTGATGTGGTATCAGCCCACACCAGCTGAAACACAGGTACATAAATGTACATCCCAGAAAGGAAGTTTTAAATGAGGTATTGTCTAGAAAGTCCAAATTAGAACCCAAATAAGAAGGCAAAAAGGGTAGTTGTAATAGAAGACTCATTTTTTAAGGGGATCAGAGGGCCTGATATGCAGACTGGACCCAACTCACATGGATGTCTTCTGTCTCCCAGCAGGCAAGGATAAGGGACATCGCTGGAAAACTCTCCAGTCTACTAAGATCCTCTAACTATTATCTGTTATTGATTGTTCAAGCCACCAGCAATAAAATAACAGAAGTCTGAGGGCAATGGAAAGAGACTTCAGGACTTCGGGATAATTAGTTGAGGAAACAAGAGCAGAGGCTGTGATTTCCTTGGTCCTTCTCATAACAAGGAATAATATTGATAAGAATGCATCAGGTCAATGTTTGGTTCCAAGCCTAGTGTAATTGGAAAAATTCTGGGTTTTTTGACCATGGGATGATCTCTTCAACACCTGGTCTGCTGTCACCTGCTGGGATGCACCTTTCTCAGGAGGGAAGAAGAGTTCTAGCACAGGAGTTAATAGGTCTTGTTGAAAGAGCTTTAAACGAGCATGGAAGGAGGAAAGGGAAAATACCAGACTGGCCAGTGATGAGCATTGGGATGGTGTGCCGAAAACCTGAAGCAACTGTGGACTAATAGGATCTCTCAATCTGCTTCATGAGGTGTTGGCTACACTGTACCATGCCTGAAATGTTTCTACACTAATGCACACAGCATGAGGAACAAACAAGGGGAGGCTTTGGCCCAATCCCAGAGATTTGATATCACTGGCATAACTGAAACCTGCTGGGGTGAGTCCTGTAATAGAAGGGTCAGAATGTATGGAGCTTACAGTTGGCACTGGCACAATTGGGGGTATCTGTATAAGAATCAAGGGATAAACAAATAATGTTAATATCATCATGTGAATCTACTAGACCTCCTAGCCAGGATGATGGTACTGATGATTATTCTTTGATGAACAAAGGGACACTTTCAAGTCAACTGCTCTTGTCCTTATATTGGATTTCTATTTGGCCTAAACCAACTCAGAACTTCACACGGCTGTCCAGCCCAGGCCAGAAGATTGCTAAAAGCCTGGATGACAACAGGTTCTAAGGGAGCCAACTCAGAAGAATACCCTCTTTGATCTGATGCTTGTCAACAGAGACACTCTAATGAGAAAAGTGATGATTGGCATCCATCTTGGCCACAGTGACCACAAAGTGATTGAAATCTCCACTGACATGAGGAAAAGTGCCAGCAAAACTTCAACTTGACATGTGGAGAGCAGACTTTGGACTGCTTAGAGAATTAGTATGTAAAATACCCTGGGAAAATGTTTTTGCAGGTGCTGAGGTCCATCAGTGCTCGTTACTTTTTAAACATCATTTCCTAAAGGTACAGGAGGTAGGCATTCCCTGTTGGAAGTCAAGCAGGCAAAGGCAGAAGGCTGGCTTGGCTGAACAGGGATCTTGTCTTGGAAATAAGGCAAAGAAAGGAAGGTGTATGTCCAGTGGAAGCAAAGTCAGGTGACATGGGAAGAATACAGGGATACTGCTTGCCATTGTAGGAACAAAATTTGTGTGACCAAAGCTCAATTGGAGTTGAAGCAGGCCAGCAAGTGTGAGACAATAGGAGTTCTAAAATACACATTAATGGCAAAAGACAGTGTAGAAATAGCATTGGCCTGTTGAAGGATGAGGATGAAAAGGCAGAGGTATTTAATGCATTCTTTGCCTCTGTCTTCAACATGGATGGTGGACCAAGGGGTTCTCAGTGCCCTGAGCTGGAGGACCCTAGCTGTGAGAATGTTCCCAGCTGAACCTGAATTTGTGTGGGACCTGCTGTTTCATTTCGGTCCCAAAAATTCTATGGGGCCTTCATCCAAGAATCCTTAAAGGTCTAGCTGATGTCATTGCAAATCTCTTTTGATGATTTTTGAACAGTCTTAGGAACTTTGTGAGGTCCCAGCTGACTGGAAGCTACCAAATGTTGTCCTGATTTTCAAGAAGGGCAAGAAGGAGGACCCTGGAAACAACAGGCCTGCCAGTCTCACTTCAGTGCCTAGTAAAATAATTAAAAAGATTATTCTGCGAAGTATTGAATATCTGGAGGAAATGCAGTCATTGGTCACAGCCAAGCATGGTTTCGTGAGTGTAAAGTCCTGCTTGTTAAAATCCTACTTCCTTCTGCGACAGGGTAACCCACTTAGCTCATCTCAGAAAGCCAGGGGATGCAATCTTTTCAGATCTCAGCAAAGCTTTTGGTACTGTCTCTCACAGGATCCTTCACAACAAAATGTCCAGCATACAACTAAATAATAATGTTACGAGATGGATAAGAAACTGGCTCACAGGTCAGACACAAAGAGTTATAGGGAACAGGGTAACATCAGACTAGTGACCTCTCTAGTGCGGTGTTGCAGGGCTCAATCCTCAGCCCAATTTTCTTCATTAAGGACTTGGATGCAGAACTATGTTTGCTGATGACCTTAAATTGGGAGGAGCTGTTGACTCCCTTGTGGGCAGAGGTCCTGCAGAGAGACCTCAACAAATTAAAGGCCTGAAAAATCAGCAACCATATAAAGTTTAACCAGTCAAATGCCAGATTCTGCACCTGGGACACGGTGCAAGGCTATGATTCTAAATGACAGTACTGTTTTAGGGTGTTCCTATTTTGCTGTTAAAATTTTAGGTTAGGAAAATCGGATACACCATTCTTACATCAAACGAGTAGTGGATAACCAACCAACCGGGCAATAATTTACTTCTGAGAATCCTTTTCTGTATTGGTAATTATTTAAGCACTTGTGCACAAGAATCAGTAATCTTGTACTCTGCCCTATGACAATCATCTTAGCCTGAATTTTGCTATGTTTGTTACTTGTGATAATTTGGTATGTAAGGGTAGTGGTTAAATTTCTTGAAATGGTTAAATTAATTGAAATTTCCCTTTTAATGTATTAGCAGGTATGCTTAACAGAAGGAAGAAAATACTGTTGAGGACTATACCTAGTGCAGGTAGCCTGGCATGCAAGTTACAGCTTGTGCCATGGGTGTGAGGAAATAGAGAGCCCCAGGCAACAAGACATGATCTGGTGCAGACCATTTGCTTAAATAAGGGCATGAGGACCTGGGCCATAGTCCAGTGAGGTGAGGATGGTCAGAGAGGCCAGTCACCCAGACTCTTGCAAGAGCCAGTGAAGGATGAGAAGACCTCAGAATAAATATCAGTATTTTAATGGGTGCATAGAGTGTACGGGTTAAAAACCCAGGGATTTCTTTTTTGGGATACCTCCCTGGAGGCAGCCAGCTTCAGCTGTCATAATGCTGATCACCATGGGAGCCATGTGTCCTATGGGAAACCTGGGGACAAGCTAGTGAGGGAAATCTGCTCTGTGTGATTGTGATGTATGTAGTGAGTCAAGTGGGGTGCTGTCAATTCACCGGAGTTTCCTCTGCAAAGGGGCTTCAGTCCCAACAATGAAAGTCTTGGATGATTGGAATGTGAGTGGCTCCTGATAATTAGACAGAAAAGTTTGCTAAAGTGTTGTCTAAATAACAGCCATAACATTACAGGCCCTTGAATAACAATATTGTGTTGATGTTGCATACATTTCTGCTGGTTTTGTGTAGCCATTACTTGGCTTTGGACTACATGGTGTGAGAGGTTATATTTCTAGCTATTGTAGCTAGAAATACAGCTACAAGGCTTGGCACAGAATCCCAAGGCTACCTGTAACTCTGGGTCAATACAGTTCTTGCATGTTAGGTAGCTGCTCACATTTAAGAGCAAAGAGTATGGAATTTTCCTAATGATCTGGGAAATTGTCTGAACATAATTACAGAATGGAGAAAGTAGATAAGAATTATTGCTGATCTTCTGTCTTTGTAACATCTAGACTGTGTGAAAAAAACATATTTAAGACAATCAGAAAAAAAAAAATGCTGCTGGCTCCTGTCCACAGCAGCAGATATTTCTGCTTCCAACAGGATAGTTTTCATGATTTATTTTCTTGACCCATGGGATAACAGCTCTTCTGATTGGTTTCATCTTGTGTATTTAGTGTGTATTGCAACAAGAAGTAACCCTTAATCCATGTATTAGATGTTGCTATAGGACACAAAAGAACACACGCTCACACTGTTCTCAAGGTGAAAGAGAAAAAAGGGCCATTTATTTTCTGACTCTAACATTTATAGTTTTCTAAAAGTGACAGTGGATTGGAGGTTGACAGTGGCACCTCTCCAATGACACTGGTTAAACTAACAGTCTATCAACTCTCTCTTCTTCTATAAAAGAATGCAAAACAATGAGTTATTTACAGAAAGTGTGTGAGAAAATTCACTACAAGAATGTCAACATCAAAAAGCTTAAAAAATCTTAAAAAACCAGAGTAACAATTAGGTCCACTGGATAATTGATTTGAAAACTGGGAAAATATCAGAGAATTTTACCTAATTAAAATCAGTTGCTGACTTCAGAGACATCAGGACAACCCAGGACAGGTGTGAAAGCCTCATGTCATGTAATAATGTTATGTAATAACTTCCCATATTTTTATGGGAAGCATTACATTTTTGCATTTGGAATGACCCTAATGTTTGTGCTTATTTCCACTTTGAATTTTTATTTAGGTTTTCAGGCTTATTCCCAAACTGTGGTTATGCAAAGGTAAAATGATAGCAGACCACCTTTATTTTTCAGAATTCTGACATGCTGGGCAATAAGCCTATGAATTTATTTTCCTTCTCATTGTTTTTTCAGGGTCTAAATCACAAAACTGCTTGTGGAACACCATTATTGGTGGGCTGACCAGCAACCTCAAGGAAAGGCCAAAGCTGACCATTATCAATGACCCGAGACCTCCTGAAGAAATTTTAGCAGATGAACTACTACCAGTGGACAATCCTGAGGCATTGGTGAAAACATCTTTCAGGTCTGACTGATATGAATTTACTTCATTTATCTTTGAGAGGCTATCTGTTTAAGATGAAATCTGTGGTGTGGGTTTGGTGACAGAAATTGATACCAAAAGATTCTGTAATGCTGCATATCTTCATACTGAAAAAGAGTGTAAAAATAAATCCATAAATAATAGTGACTGGATTGGCCTTTAATTTCTTACACTTTACTAGCATCCCCAAAAGATTATTTACTAGGCAGAAAGTCTGTAACCAGTCAAAAAATCAACAAAGACAGCTCATTATATGATGATGTCTTTGAAGGTTGGTATTGTTTCATTTGCAAGGGATTAAATGATGAAAAATTGCACTTTAGGTCAGACGATGTGCTTCATTGATGCAAGGGTGAGTTACATCTTTTCCTATTGATGTAATGTCTTGAGAACTGCCTAGCATTAATATATCAAGGGGAAGAACTCTGACCAGGGTCTTGCAAAAAAGTGATTTCTGCTGTATCTAGATATTCTTGTGTTTTCCGCTCTTTTATTTAATGCTGTCAATATACAGTTACCATATGTTTCTTGGAAATATGTTTTCTGAAAAATTGTCTCTCAAAGTGAGGTAAAATAGAGAATCCATAGGGCATACAATGGATTTTTGACTGAAATTTGAAAATTGGCATGAAATTGGTGTGCCCAGAAAAAGCAAAGTGAGTGGCAGAATTGATTTTTCAAAATGTTTTTTCAGCTTATTTTTTCATTGTTGAAAATTTGTACTCTACTTTTCTTTTGTATTAAACATACCTGTGTTTAAAATAATGTTCCTTGATTTGGATAAATTTCTCTGACTACAGTGATTTTGATTATACCTGAGTCTGTGAAACTTATTTCACTCTTCATATGATTATTTTGAAGGTACTTGATTGAGTCTTTATCTTAGGTAGTAATTTCAGGTATTTGTTCATGCTGATTGATGTTTAAAAGCATAATACCATAAAATGAGTTTATGCCAGTCTATATTAACAACTCTGTAATTCATAGTGAATTTTCATTCTTTAATATTCACATTTAAAGGATACAGGACAAGGATTTCCGAACCTTTTATGATGGCCTATGGTATTTAATGACTTAAAAGCTTTGTACCTCTGATATTTAAAATCTATAATTTCAAGAGATCTAAATATTTGTCGGCTTTTACTTTGCATAACAATATATGGGTAGCAGCATTCCTTACATTGTTATTGTCAAGATAATTTGAAAAATTTAATGCAGCAAAATAGTGTGACGGCATTCTGAATAGTATAGCATAATAAGGACTGATAAGTTGGAAAATGTAATTTAACAAAACAGTTTTTCTAGTACAGTTTAAAAGGCTTTATAAACATCACAGAATCTTTGTATTGTATCAATATAGATATTACTGTATAATGTGGCATTTTGGGGGACTTCATAGATGGAAATCCAAACAAATTGTTGTTACAAAATAAATATTAACTTCCTAGTTTTCCAAAGAATCAAAGCCCTGTGTGTGCTTAATAGTTTTGTGGAGGAGTGGAAGGTAAGAGAGTTGTCTTGGTTTGTAAAAAAGGTGTCGGCCAAGGAAGGCAGGAACCTCCCTTGGAATGGAAAATATCACCCCCTTCCATTCAAATTATTATAACTTTGAAATTAAGGGGCTTTCAGGCAAAGATATGGGAAAAGGAATAACAGTTCTTTACTAATATGTAATAACAGGGCAAACAAACAACAACAATGACAGCAACAACTAACAAAAACAGAAACCCAAATAAAAATCTTCTCTCAGCTGTCAATCACCCTTTGTTGTGTTCTGGTTTAAACTCAGAAAAGCAAAGAAAACACTGTGTCTAAACCAAATAAATAAACCTCTGTGTATGAACCAGAAAAAACTTGGAAGGTTTAAAATATACCCAAAAATGAGATTAAAGCCAAATGAGGTTAGATGCTGGTACCAAAAAAAATTATATATTTTATTTAATAGTTCAAGAGGCAAAGACAAAGAAAGAGAAAAGAAAGAAAGAGATAGAGAAAGAAGTTTGCATAGAGACCAGGGAGATGGGGAGAGTGACAGGGCTTAGGTAGAAGCATATCACCCATCCAAAGGTCCCTACATTGTTCCCGTCTGTTATAGATATATATTATATTATTGGCTTTTTGCAAATATTAAAATGGATGCTATATGTATAATGTTAAAGTAACTTTGCTATAAAAATATAGTCTTTATTTCTTTAGATATAGTAGTGAAATAGCTGATATAAGTATGCTTGTGTTAAAATGCCTGCTTGGTTGGGATAATATCCACTGAACATATGATGAGGACCCCTGCTCCTGATATGCCAACTATCAGCACTCACCGTCTGAAGACAGTACGGACCAAAACCCAAAAACTAGAGGTGATGATATGAATGGACTAAAACCACAGCGAAGAAATGTGCATGCTCTAAAAAGGCAGACCTGAGGAGGGACCATACTATCAGTTCTTGGAACATGTAAACTAGTTTGGGGGAAAGTTTAAATATGCATAATTGTTTATGAATATGCAACCAGCTGATGCAATAGAAATTGTATATAAAGGGTGTTTCCAAAATTGCTGGCGTGCTCTTGGCTGACTGACAAGAAGCACCCAACTGTATATCTTTGCTTTATTATCTTTGTTTCCTATTGTCCTTGATTAAACTTTTAAATTTTACCAGGAGAATGAACCTTGCTTTTCACACCTCCATCTGGTCTTCTTGGTGGTAAAGATTCCCCACTGTGGCCACACCGCACCACACCACACTGCACCACAGGCTGCCACACACAGAAGAGTATAGAATTCAGTGGATTAATATACACTTTGGGCTAGTTTGGAATGCCAAGACCCTTGCAACACTGAGGGTCTGTTGCATCATGTTGCAGTGCTCTGGTGCAGGGTCTGGGGACCCCATGGGGGGAGTCTTTGGTGGTCCATGACACTTCCTTCTGCTGTGGATAAGCTTATCCAGGTAAAGGGCCCCAGAGCTGAGCCTCTCTGCACACTGGAGGATGGGCGTTCACTGCCTCTGACCAGAGGCCTTTCCAACATGCACCCAAAGTGCTCTCCCCTCACTCTTTGGTGCAAGGGTCTGTTCAAAGCCTGGCAGCTGATAGCCCTGGGGCTGTGGTCTCCTCTTGAAGGTGCTAAGCTTGTGCTTTGTGAACGTTCCCAATCCTGAGTTGTTACTTGATCTTATCTTCATCACCGAACAGTCCAGGGCCTCACTCGGAAGGCCTATTCAGGATCTGGTGGTATTCTTTGCAGCTTTAATAATACAGTTTTCAAAGTCCTTCATGAAAATGTTTAACTCATAAACAATACTATTTCAGCCTCTGACAACCTTTGATGTAGCTATGGGCGCTGTTGGCTTCCAGCTGGGCAGGGCAGGTGCTATGACTCCCCTGTGGCTGCAGGAGGTGCTGCGGCAGGAGCCCAGCTGCCTCTCTCCACATGGGTAATGGTCAGTGTGTGGGCAGAAGAGATAGAAAAGGGCCTTCCTTTACAAACTCACAGGGGGAGGCAGTCCTGGGGCCCCTCTGGATGGCAACATGGGTTGTAGCAGGAACCTTGGAGCTGCAGTTGGAATGACAGAGGCGGGCACAGCCGGGGTAGCAAATGAAATGTAGCAGAAACTCCTCAGCTGTAGCAGGAGATGGGGTGTCCTGGCAGGTAGGAGATACAGGGTTACAGTGTAGTGAAAAACAGAGCAGTGGCAGGGCTGGGCAGTGGCAGCTGGGTTCCCAAACGTAGCTGGGAAAGGTGATTTGTGGAAAAACACAACTCGTGGAAGTTGTAAAGTAGGTATGTACTTATTCAGCGCTGTGAAAAACGCCATTCACTTGTGTTAAAATTTTAGAAGTTTAATACTAATAAAATAGTAATAAAAATTAGACCAATAAGAATTTGGACAATCAAAGTTAGGACGATAAAAGACAACAAAAAGCAAAGAATTACATTCAGGTGCTTTTTGCACTCTGCCACAAAAGCAGGCTTTGCTAAAAAAGGATTAACCCTTAAAAGCAATAGCCTGTTGCATATTCATTTATCTCATAGCTGTTCCAAACAAAGGGTGTTTTCTGCTTAATTTCTGCTCCCTCACCCCATCTTATAAATCAATTTCTTGGTTCTTCAAAGTCTCAGAGAAGTCTGGATTTTCCCGATAAGGAGGCAATAATTCTTCTCTTAGGATCTTGGTGTCCTAGTGTTGTTATCTCCATGCAAAGAATTTCTTGATTATCTTATCCATTCCTTGAGCTAGTTACAAAAACTATCTTACATCACAAGTTTGAGCTTACCAATTTAAGGTTAATTTCCCTTTTTCAATAGTTTGCGTGTTTTTCCTATCAACTACTGCATACTATCCTATCAACTACTGTCTTTTCTCCTCTTTTTTTTCCCCTGTACCCATCTTACTGGTTTTCTGTCCCATTTTTCAAGATCTTATCTATTCGTCCCCTGTCTCTGTTTCTCACTTTCTCTGAATACCACCTTCTTCCGACTACACACACAAAAGTTCTTTTTTCTCAATATTGAATAATATTGAATATTATTCAATACAATACACCTCCCCCAAGGAGATAAAGTGAAGCTTAAAATAAACAATCTACATTACATATACTTTCATTCATCTACATTTACTCACTTTTATTTCTCATTCACTTTCACACATTCTTTCACAACCTCAGGAGCTGAAGTGGACCCCTGTTGCCAGAGAATCACTGGTCCATGTGGTCCACCCTCACCTTGGGGTTGGCCTCTGGGCTTCAGTACTCCTGGGCCTCTGGCAAGGGCCCTGAATCTGGTCGCCTCTAGTGCCTGTTCACCTGTGAGGCTAATTTGTGTGTAACTCACACTCCTTCACCACGGCCCCCTCACTCCCCAGGGGAACAATGGACTGTTTGCGGGTCACATACACCTTTTTCCACAGCCCCCCCCCCCGCCACCTGCCTGGGAAGCTGAGGCTGATTCTGTGTGTGACTCACTCTCACACACAGCAAGACAA